AACATCAATGAGGAAAAGTCAGTGCCAAACAATTAAAATGTAAACTTTAGACTTGAAGTGCAATAAAAAACTTTAGCATAACTGAAGGGAAAAACTATATAAATACCTTATTGATAAAATAAAATATAAGCCAACAGAATCAAACAAGACAATAAATAAAGTGCAATACTGTCTGAATCCTGACTAGACGGCTTTAGAGCATGTATTTCACATCATTTTATTTTTATTTATTTTTTTTATTTTCAAAATTTTGTTTTCAAATATATATATTTTTTAAATATATATTTTTTTTATCACGATAGATACGATATCTCTGAAAAAGCATATCGTGGAGACCTAATATTGTCACGACGATATATATCGTCATATCGCCCACCCCTAGTTTGATGCATTACAAATGTTCCCTTTCTTAAAGTAACATCACTACTGGCTGTTCAACTACACTCGAGCTGTTAGACTAAAGAAAGTTGTCAGCATTTTTAGCTTTTACCCATTCTTAGCAAAGCATTGCCTGCTAGTATTCAAAAGCCCTTTCCATAGGTTGAACATGTAACTTAAGCCATACAAAGATGTTCTCTTCCAAAGATGTTCAATAAAATGGTTCATTTGTTTAACGGTAAAACTTGAGAAGCGTTGGGTTTTGTGGACAATCCTTTTTTTGTCTTCTTTCCAATCCTGTCAATAATCTTGCGACCATGTCTTGTGATCCCTTCAGACATACCACTAAACGCAGCCAACAACACAACACTTCTCTGCGTTTGCAATATGGGGGTGCCAACACACAGTGCACATGCAGGCTTGGGGATGCATTGGCAAATGTAACATGTGCAAACCATAGACTGTGTATATATAAAGGCACAAGCTTAATTATTGGTAAATTGGATTGCTGTGTTTTTATACTTGGCATAACACAACCACAGCTTTATAAGTTCATGTTGGTAATATCATATTGGTTTTTTGTTCCCTCAAGTTAAAACTGGAATACTTGGAAAGCTCATTAGATTACATACAATTAAAAATAATTAGAGGTCTCGAGGAAGATTCCCTTGAATAACTAGCTGCTTTCAAGGTTACAGCACAAACTGGGTGTGTGGCTCACCTGCACTCAGCTCAGAGGCTTAACTGGTGAAATATTCCTCTCCACTGTGGCTCAGGCACAGGGCTTCATCATATTGTCCTTGGCAAGGCTTCAGCAATGTCACCCAGTGGAGGAGAGAGACAGGGGGAATATATCAGAGGTAGGTTCAGCACACTTGGGTCTGACTCCAGGGTCCCATGGGAGACATGACAGCCTTCTCTGAGAACCTCTGACTCAAGAAGTCCGAATGATAAAGTTATAATGGAAGTAGAAATGGTGGCAGTGCAGGAGACGCCCTATTGTGACACAGCTACAGTGGGAGAGATGATCTATCTTTGACCCCAAGGGCTGCTGGTTAACTGTATAAACAGCAGGATGGATATTTTTATTGCATGTGGTGGAGTGAATGTGGTACAGCAGGTACAGTTTTGAGGACAATTCAGCAAGAAGTGGTTCAAGGAAAGACAAACACTATCTCTCCATTGGGACTCAGCTGTGACTAATCTGACCCCGGTGTTCATGCATGAAAGTGCATAAAGAGTTGTTTTTTGGTTTACAGTTGAAGACATGAGCACAACCAAAATAAATTCAGTTGTGATTTCAGTACTAACTTCTCAATAGTTTAAATTTGAAACAATTAGTCGATTCATTCATTAGTTTAGGAAAAGATACATGCAACTATTTTTGCTACTAAGTTGTTTGTCAGGGAAAAGCCACTTCATTTTCTGGTTCCAGTCTGTACATTGTGAGTATTAAATGGGTTTGTGTGAACTAAGGTCAATTGAACTGAATATATTTTAGGTTTCGGACAGACTCTAGGAGAATGTGACTGTTAATTCTTTGTGATATTTCAAATTTCTTTTAACTCAACTTTTATTTATAACTCAACTCAACTTTATTTATAAAGCCCTTTTCAAAACAGCCGGAGCTGAAACAAAGTGCTGTACACGCCATAAAAAACAAAAACAAAACAACAATAAATAACAATATAAAAACAACAAAACCAATGAAGCATATAAAAACAAACAGAAACAGAGTCTCATGCTGGGTTAAAAGCCAAGGAATAAAAATGGGTTTTTAGGCGAGTTTTAAAAATGGACCAAAGCTTTTATAGACCAAATAATTGATTTTACAAAACATTTTAAAGATTGATTTATAGTGAATAAAATCCTTATTTTCAACCCTATATCTTAGGACAGTGTACTTGGGTTGATTACCCAGCAGCGTGTTGACATCAGAATGAGCTTATAGGCAGGTTGACAAGCTAACACACTCGGTATGTAGTAACAGCAGTGGTAGTGCAGCAGGCTCAAATGAATTCAGAGCACACATGTTTAGTATGAGATTACATACAACAGTTTCCTTACGCAGTGAGTCATCAATCATAAGCCACGGTGAACATGTTGCTGAAGACAGTAGGTGTCTTCTAAACATGTAATCCTCTTAAGGCTTACTGGCTTGTTTTCAATTATCACCCTCCACACAGAACCTCTACATTCAAAAGCCTCTGCATGTTAAGGTTTCAATAATCATTTAGCAGTTTGATTGATTCTATGCCCATTTTTCTATATAGATCTTGTGAAATAAATATATATTCAAATGATTGGTTTTTATGGCAAGGAGAAGAAAGAAGTTTTCATTATGACATGCTGCAGAAAGACTGGTGGTGCAATGTCACTCTTTCAGGCAAGGTTATGAATGCAGGGAAGACTGACAGCATATAAAAAGCTGTTTAATTGCTGATTGATCACAGAGTGTTGCATTTTACATCATATAGGGAGATATTAATGAGTCGCCAAGATGTGTCGCAAAAGTGTGGTTGTTTTTCATTATCCTCTATGATGTCCTTCTGACCTTGCTTTAATCCTAGAAGGAGAACTGCTGTGTAAACCCTTGATCAAAAGCAGCACTTAATTTAACCACTAACTAGCTACTCACTTTACAGTGTAACACGATCATTCTGAATCTCTCTCTTTTGCCTTTCTTCTTGCAGGACCGGTGAGCAGCAAGTTGGTGACTCGCTTTGGAAGCCGACCAATAGTCATGGCGGGTGGATTGATGTGTGGGGTATCTATGGTAACCGCTTCTTTTGGGAACTCCATGGTTCACCTCTACCTTTGCATTGGCATCATTGGAGGTATAGTGCTTGGATTTATTTTTATTTATTACAACTGTGTCCTGAAAAGCTTAACATTTAATCAATCAAAGTTTATTTATATGGCCCAATATCACACATTTGACATTTCTCCCAGTGGACTTTACAGTTGGTACAGAATATGAATACGACACCCTCTGTTGTTGGACCCTCAATTCAGACAAGGAAACATTCCAAATAAATCCCACAGTTAATTAGACCCTCCAGAAAAACGAGGGCAAAAATCCTTGATTATACGGGCTAAAATCCTTGATTATGCGATTAAACATGCAGGGTTTTTATGTGATTTTATGCGGTGAAATTGCGGGAAGTTGCGAAATATGCGGAAAGTTGCGAAAAGGAATAGATATTTAAAAAATATTGGGCTGTCTTATTTATTCTCTCTCACACAAAACCTGCCACTAACGTTAAACCCCTTTACTATTCAATTAAACACATTCAATGTTTATTTATTGTAAAAGCAATTGGGCTATTTTAATCAAAACTCTCTCTCTCTCTCTCTCACACNTTGTCCGCAGCAGCAGAAAGCATTTTCGAATGTTTGAATGAATCAAAGTGGGTCGTCACCGTCGATTTTCTCTTATGCTCCAACACACAGTTGCACGGGGTGCAGAATAGTTTCCCCCCACTTTTTGCCCGGTCTTTAGTAGAAATGTTCGTCGGTAAATGAGATGGATTAGATATTTTCATCTTGGTGTTTTCTCTATCGTGTGAGCTCCACACGTTCACTCTATACAGTGTTGTTTACATTCTGTGATGCGCGAGCTGATGACGTCACGTCAAGACGAGTTAACTTTTTTTTTCTCTCAACTTTGTGTGGAAAAATGCGGGGATTATGCGGCCTTTTGATAAATATGCGGCCTTTTAGAAATCTGCGCCATTTTGCTGATTATGCGGTAAATTCTGCGATCGCAGAATCGCGTTTTTCTGGAGGGTCTAGTTTATGGGAAAAAATTGAAGAAACCTAGCAACAGAGGAGGGACCCTTCTCCCAGGACGGACAGACGTGCAATAGATGCTGTGTTTAATTGAAAACATAATACATTTACAACATAGGTAGTCCAAGTGCTTGAAAACTCATGTTATTCTGCAGCCCCTATTCGAAGGCAGGGCCTACCATACCAGGTGCAAACACCCAATGACACGAGGGATCGAACCACCAATTTTCCGATTTATAGGACAACCATCTACCTGCTGAGCCTCAGCTGCCCCAATGTGGATCCCAGACGCTTTTTTACCCCTTAGCTTACTATTCCCATCAGCCCGGGTTAAGCAGCTCCTAGGTTAGAGAAAGTCTGCATCTTTCACATCCTTCCAGACGCTCTGGTTTGCCAGATCTGCTTCCCCTGCTGATGGTCGGGGCCCAGGGCATCGGCTCTGGCTCCTGAGGTGCTGTAAGAGCACCGAGGGGACCAGGAAGGTAATTAAGACAGAAGCATCCCTGATCCCAGAGAGCATGGTCTTCCGTGGCCCTTTGTACTCTCCCGTAGGCTCCCATCACGGCCGTCACATGGGGTCTCCCTGCCACCCTGCGAGCCTCATTACCCTGCCAAGGACTGCCATGAAGGATTAATAGGCCCAGCAAGTGCCTGGGCCAAGTGCGGGGCCCGAGGGCGTTTGTGTGCCCGGCTCTGCTCCCCTGCGTCCGGGCACACCTAGCAGACGTGCAGACATATGCTTACACATGTGCAGACTCAAATACACATATATATAAGCAACAATATAAAGTCAAAGTCAACTTTATTGTCAATCTTTCAGTTTGAGTGTACAGACAGAGAGATTGAAATACTGTTCCCACAATCCCGAATACAAAAACAAATATATATTAAAAAATATATATATATACCGTACACACAATCAAAGACACATTTATACATATGCACACATTAAGGCCTAAATAAAAGCACAACACTCAATATATACAAAAATAACTGTCACTTCAATATCTTTGAGAATGTGCATTAGTGCAAGACTGTCCATAGCAGCGTAAAAAAAAAACACAGACCGTGAGAAGATTTGAGTCAGATGGTCATACAGCTCCTTGCCCAGATTTCTTATTTTAATTAAATTCATATTTGTTTCCCCTCTGCACCTTTTGCATTTTAAAGAGATGGTTGGAAGCTGGCGGTGGATTATGCCCTTCACTAGGGAGTCATATTGGTTGGTTAGTGTAGCTACTGAAGTTAGCAGTGAAGAGGATTGGGAGAAAGCAGGCTGAAATAGAAACAGTTGACCGTTGATTAGAGGCTGCTCGGGGGGCTCTGGCTGGCTGATGGACTTTACACCATGTGATGATAATCTGCCCCACCAGTAAACACCAAGATAAGGTGGAACAGGGGCGAGTATTCCTTTTAACAAGACTAAATTAAAACCAAACAGTCAGAAGTTAACATATTTGTATCTACATTTTGTAATCAAAGTTTGTAAATGAGTTTTGAAACATTTTATTTATAAGGTTTCATCCATTTACTCGTACGTTACATTTATCTTAATCTTCCTTCATTTAATTAGTTTTCAGCTTCCCTCCACACATTCTTAATTAAAAATGATGATGAGTATCTTCTTAACATTTACTGATAAAAGGTGAACTGTTGTAAATTAAATAAAGTCAGCCTAAATAATAATGTATTCCTTCATAAAATGTAAAAGGTTATTGTAAAATCATGATTTATTTGTATATTAGAAAGCTATTCCTGTAATACACGTCAACTCTCCATGTGTTTATGAATGATCTGTTTGGACACACTTTGATAAATTCACAAGAACACAAAAGCCCTTTTTCCTTGTGCTTCATCATGAGACCAGAGAAGATGATTAGATTGACATTGGAGAGGGAGAATATAGCACCCTTAACAATCTACCTGCAGCTCTTCATGTTCATGGAAAATAAGGTGCTATTAAATTGAATTTTTGGGTGAAGAGGCAAGCGAGGGAATGTATTACCCAGGCTCTCTAATTTATTTCTACTTAAATGGAGAAATTATTTCTGCAATAATTCCAGCTTTCTGTAATGAGATTTTATCCAGCCGAAGTGAAGTGAGATGGAACCTTAATGAGCTCCAAGCAGAATCAGTCTTGATTTGATTTAGCGAGTACCCTTTGGAGTTTAGGTTCAGGATGGTTTTCTTACTTTTCAATCTCTCTCCACACAGGCTGCGGACTCTCCTTAAACCTCAATGCATCTCTCACCATCATCAGCAAGTATTTCCTGGTCAAGCGGCCGTTAGCTAACGGACTAGCTATGGCCGGGAGTCCCGTGTTTCTGTGTCTCCTGGCCCCTCTAAACCAATATTTACTGTACACATATGGCTGGAGAGGAAGTTTCCTTATCCTCGGGGGTCTGATGCTCAATTGTTGTGTCGCTGGGGCCCTGATGAGGCCTGTCATTGCGCGTTGTAAGATATCCAACTGTGCACCACAGAAGAAGATGGAGGACAAGACAAATGAGTCCAACAGCAAACTAAAAGAAAGCTGTATGAAGAGTGCGAAGAGCTTCTTGGATTTGACCTTCTTCAAGGATAGAGGCTTCGTCATTTACCTCATTGGGAGCATAATGTTCATCTTCGGCGCTTATGCACCAATTGTATTCCTATCAGCCTATGCTATAGACCAAGGGGTAGGTGAATTCTCCGCAGCCTATCTGCTCACTATCATGGGCTTTGTGGACATGTTTGTTAGGCCTGCCACCGGCCTGATAGCCAGCAGCAAGCGGGTCAGGCCCAGGATCCAGTACTTCTTCAGCTTCGCCTTGGTTTTCACCGGCACGGTCCACTTACTGTGCCCAATGATTACCATGTTCAAAAGCTACTCCTACATCTTCCTGGCGACCTACGCTGTCTTTTTTGGCGTTGGGTTCGGCATGGTTTTTGCCCTGATATTCGAATGCCTGATGGACCTGATGGGAAATGAACGCTTCCCCAGTGCTGTTGGACTGGTCACCATCATCGAGTGCTTCCCCATGCTACTGGGACCGCCTGCTGCAGGTAACACACTCAACATGCACTATCCATTCAAACACATGACCGAATCCTACTGACTCACTGAAAAATCAAAACCTCTTGGACAAACACGTCTGGAATGCAAAGTTTGAAAAGCTTAAATACTTACTTTAAACTCACTTTGGATTGCCTTACACTGATGCTTTCTGCAAATAAAGGGCCAAGGGAAGATAATAGAGCTGCTTGATTATAGCAAAAATCCTAATCTCGATTATTTGGGTCAATAATTGATATCACGATTATTAAAAACGATTATCCATTTACTTTGAAAACATCAATTTATTGGAGAATTTTCTTTTGAACAGTATGTTTTTAACAGTTGAACTTTAAGTATAATTCAACTGAAAAACCAATAAAAAAAAAAGTAATAATAATACAAAAATAATCGTTTTATTTCGATTACGTTGTTTTCGTAATCGTTGCAAGC